GCTGTCTGGGTACCTGCATACAAACAAGTGTGTGTGCTTGACCTGCGGACTGGGCTAGGTACCTTTGGACTTTGACTGTTGGGTGGACCGACAGTTGACTAAAGTCAACTGTCACACACCCAGGCCCTGAATTCGTGAAGGGCTTTTTCTGCCCTTGTTCGGCCTGGGCTGAGGGCGGCCAAGTAGGCCCTCTGATGACCCTCAGTTCCACGAGACATATGGCATGGGTTATCGCAACTGTACGTATTCAGAAGAAATCAAAAAGAAAAAACGAGAGAGCTACGGGCATCTTATTCCTAACCCATAACTGCCGACATGCAGACCTGAACGCCAAACTTCAGCATATATTGGTGGTCGGCTGGACTCAGCAAACATTACGTGTGCCATCTGCTAGACAGCGTGACCTTGGCAATAGTGGGCAATTATACTCTTCTTGCAAATTTGAACACCTCTGCGTGGGATTTGCAGAAGGAAAGGTGAAGCTCAGTTATCATACCCCACCCAAAAAGGAAAACCTAGAGGCTCAATGAGCCCTATTTTCATAATCAGCAATTTTGAAATTTGTGGGGTATCAGCCTGCAGAATTCAGAATTCGGCAACCCTTGCCCCAAAAAAAAAATTTGGTCCAAGGGGCGCGGACACTTTCCGAACTCGCGCGGTGAGTTGGATATTTTTTCCAGGGAGGGTGCCGTAGGAAATTACTTTCTTTTTTTTTTTTACCTTAATTTTTTTGGTGCGCTGCGCGTGCACAAGTCCGCGCACCGAGGTGCGCCGCAACTATGCCGCAGACTCTTGGTTTCCGCCACCCACTGAGCCAGGGAGTCGACTCGAGGAACACCCATCATCACCCATAAGGCAGACAGGGATCCCGAACTGAGCACCGCCCCTAAGAGTGCTGCAGGCACTCAAGACAAGGAATGACCAACTATTTGGCTCTGCTTAAAGGTGTTCGGTTGGGCAAACAGAAAGAAACAAATCAGAAAGAACAAACAACAAGTGAAAGACAGACATATGCAATGACTTGCTGATTTCTGCTGCCGAGATTGACTGCGAGGCTGTACACTAACCGGTAGGTTAGATTCGTAATTTTGTTTGGCTGAGGGCTAACCGAGAGACCTGCCTGTAAGGAAATTCGTGAGGGACAGATCTGCAAATCCGGGAAAATACAGGCCCGGTACCAACCGAATTCCTACAGCTACCCTAACTGCCTATAGCAGGCCCGGGCTACCCCTAGGACAGACAGGCCCTAAGCGGCCTATAATGCTAGACGGTACTATAGCCTATAGCCGGGTCCGGTAGAGGCCGAGAGGCCGAAACAGCAACGGTACCGGTCGGTCAGTCAGTCCGGTCTAGGTCTTGAGAGTCTATAGATAGGTTAGGCCCATCGATTCAGGGCTTTTGGCAATTTCGTGGCCAACCAAGTATCGCAGCGCTGAAAGTCTACAGCGGCACCTGAGACTTCAGCTGAGTGAGGCAGCCATAGCCAGCCTCTGAGGAACAGCCATAGCTGGGGCCAGTCTGAGCGCATCTACCCTCTGGGGGTATCTGCGTCAGGCAGGGCTATACTGAGGCTCTTCGTTGGGTACATGTGGGCGCTGCTGCCACGGTAGCAGCTCGGCAGCCATAGCTGCCGTCTTCTTCGTCAGAGTGACTCATCGGCACTGAGGACTACATCGCAGTTCATGATCTTCATCTTGGTGGATGGCGCTGGCCTCTGGGAGGCTGTTTCAGTGTAGTGCTGGACCCTGAGAGTGGAGTAGTGGGTGGAGTGTGTGGTTCTGAGGTGGCGAGACACTGGGTTGAACTCTGTAACGATAATTGGGGTTAATTGCGTTGAGTTGGCTCATCATCAGTGTTATATTCCGATTGTGATCTTCGCAGTGTCATCTTGTGATTGGTTGTTGGGAGTTCGTCAGAGAGAGAGAAACACTGTGTGT